CTTGAAATTATAATTTTGACTAGCTGAATCATAGTTGTAAACCATACCAAATGGCACCGTTCGCCCTCTTAAATACCAACATTTTTCGTGGCCCTTCAACAGGCCCCTAACCCGTTGCCAAGTGGGGGGAGGAGGCTTTGCATCCGCGGACTCCCCCTTCAAATAATCCTGGATCCGCCTCTGCTCACCTTGCCTTATAATTGATGGGCAAGCACTGGCAATTTCACTGGGAAAGCCTGACAATGCAGTGACCTTTGGTAGTTTGGCTGACACGTACGTAAGAGCAGTTCTTAAGGCAGGTTCCAACTATCAGCAGATTGACTTGTGTTTGACAGATACAGGGAAGAAACAATAAAAGGTGCTACTCGGACATGATTCACAAAGTCAGTGCTACCCATCAGACAAGAAATCTGATTTATCACATTCCCTGACCCTGAGAACATAGGTGTAGACACTTCATTTGTCATGTTTGCTTGCCTAGTTACAGAGATACAGAAGTAAAACGGTTTTTCAGTAATGGCGATCCTAATTTGCATATTTAGGAAAATTGCATAAATCTAATTCTAACAGAAACATCTTAATAATGTTCCTCGACCCTGAAAATATAGGTAAAGACACTTCATTTGTCATATTTGCCTGTCTAGTTCCAGAGATATTGCAGAAAATAGGAAATCTGGCGGCCATTTTGTTTTTTTGCAAATAAGACCATTAAAAACGCAAAATTTCGCTTGGGAACCAGGTAAATCGGATTCAGCATCCCAAAATTATACTAATAAGCCTGGTTCCCAACTTTTACCTCAAAATGCCCCTTGCCTCTTATGCAGAGCCTTTTTTCAAAAATCTCACTAGACTATGTGAGACAGACCAAGAAGTTATAATGATCTCATTATAACTTCTTGGACAGACTGTCAGTTGATGTTCTCCAAGGAATGATCAAATTATTTGATAGAATTTCAATAGTGTGTGTGTGTGTGTGTGTGTGTGTGTGTGTGTGTACATACACCAACCAAAAGACTGTAATGAAAGTTTCTAGGAAAACATTGTATCTTACAGTATCTAATTCTCAACACAAAATAATGATAATTACTGTGTACTTACTTCTGTTGAGTATAGTCCTGTGAATGCATTACTGATCTCTGTACATTGGCCTAGATGTATTGGTAGATGGCTATGCATAATTAAATAAAATGTGCTACTTGGATTTTAATAATAATTTATGCTGTAAGACAGCTATGGATTATGCATTTTGCATGAAAGGGCAATTAATTTGTACAGACTTATGGTGTTCATTGGGTTATATTTTCTTATTTTCTACCTGTTTTCAGATTAAAGATGCTATGTTTGTTGCAAACAAAGAGCATAAAACCACACTGACAAGAATGGAGCAAAAATTCTTTGAGGAAAAGGTATTTGCAGTGTTTTTGTTACAAATATTTGTTGTATATTATATTAGATAATTTGATAATGATAATATTAAAGAGCTATACAAATTTTAATGGATAATAAAGTCTGTTTTTATGTAAAAGATGCATCCAGATGAAGACAATGTAAATGGGAAGAAATGCTATGATAATGTCCTTTTTTAATTTTCAGATGCGGTTGCAACAAGAGGCTAACCAGAAAATTGCAGAGCTTGCTGAGAAAGCTCACCTGGAAGCTATAGTGTAAATATATTATTAAATAATTAATGCATCTCACAGAATTGTTTTATACATATGTAGGCCATTGCATTGCTATTTACATGAACAATGCAGTGGTTAAATTTTACTTCTCAAAAATTTATAAGAAATAAAACAACATTCAGCATACAAAAATGAAATAGGTTATACTGACACATCTAATTTATATTTGTTTATTTTATTTTCATTTCTTTATTATTATTATTATTATTATTATTATTTTAGAAATCTTGATGAAACAACAAGGTCAATCTACAAGGAAAATGTGAGGCTGTCAGAAGCATTGGGCTTTCACGTCAAAGAAAGTGATGAGCTCAGATCTAGAAAGAAAAAACTGGAGGAAGAAAACGAGCATTTGACAGGAGAAAAGGAACTGCACGAAGCTCTTGTGCAAGAGAAAGTCATAAAATCTAAGCAACAAAAACAGGCTTTGAAAGAGGTTGGCATACAGTGCTTTAGATCAAAAATTTTAATATACTCCCTCCCCACCTATTTGTAAATAACTTTCTTGTGTATTTCTTGTATGTTGGTTAATATTATACCATGTGGTAATGATGACAATGACAAACACATTATAATATAGGTTCATTGATATTTGGCACTTTTAGTTTACATAGATTTTTGCCAAACTCATTGACAAACAAGATTTTGCACCTATTTTACCTTTACTAATTGACCAGGTAATCAAAACCATTTATCTAAAAAAAAATGTAGGTATCATTTAGGTTATGTTGAGATGATAATATTTGTGTTCTTTTTCCAGCAACAAGAAAAAATCCAGACATTGGAACAGTCACTGAGCCATGTGGTTAGGGAATTTGAGCGAGACAGACAAGCCTTGATTGAAAAGTTTCAAATAGAAAATGAATCCAGCAAAAATGAAATTGTCAAACTCCAAAGGACTGTTGAATTAAAAACAAAAGAGATGAACAAAGTTAAAAGACTAGCTAGAAACATTCTAGACCAAAGAACACAGATTGAGCGATTTTTCTTGGAAGCACTGGAAAATGTGAAATCTGAAATAGCTGCAAACCAGTAAGTTGTTACAGCTTTTATATTTAATTTCATGCATTCTTTCATTCATTCATTCAAGTTTCTTTTCCTTGCCACATTCTAACATATAAAATATAATGTTATCAAAGTCATATATTCATTTTATGCTGTGATGCCATCTTTTCATATTTCCTACAAATTCAAGTTATTGATTCCCTAGATATATCTCTATCACCTAATGCAAAGTATAAAAGCTGTATGCTTTTTGAATACAGATTAAATCTATTGGTTATAGTTTTTAAAAATCTATATTCTCATGAACAGTTTGAGGAAACGGATTCCACAGTAAGTAAAATTATCCCAATAACGACCAATAATGTACAGCAATGCCTGCATGCACCTCATTCCTCAGTATTACACTCAGTCTGTTATTATAGCGAAAACTGTGATATCCAGCATGTTTATATTACCAGTCAAACACAGTCCTTTCATTTCATATCATATTAGAATACTTAGGTGTATATATAAGCCAAGGACTACATCCTGAGCATCCCTTCCCCTCCCCTCCCATATGCATACCACTCCCCTGTGTCAAATCAATATAAATAGTGCACTACCTAAAGAGATACAAGATTGTGACATAGCACGTACATGATAATCTGGTAGAAAATAATGACATATAAATGATCCCATTCTTAATTGGATCAGGAACTAACACAGAGGTTTTATTAGAAATTTGAGATACTGCAATATAACAGAATTATTTGAAAGAGATAATTGGCAGATGCTAAAGACTAATGGTTTATCATCTCGTTTTAGATTACAATACAAAAAGGATGCCCATGCTGCCTACCAACAAAGAATGTTAGCGGCCCATGCTGGAAGAGGAGAATATCCAAAGATCAGAACGTTCCACAAATCTGAAAACAGCACCAACAGTGTCTTCCAAGACTTGGAGGCAGCTCAGAGATTGTAAGTAATACAAATATTCTCTCTGTACATCAGAACTTGTTTTGGTCCAAATTCACAGTGTTACAAAGTGAAAGAAGAGAGAAAGCATTGATCAAAACAGTACATGCAGCAGGCTTCTGTAGGATGTAATGCAATCAGTTAATCAGTGAACATTCAGTTTAAGTGAGGAGCTGATTGCAATTACTTCAGGTTTACCATAACAATACTGTGGTTTCTGCATAACATGCTACAATCAACCTTCTGTCCACTTTGTGATGTCACTTTGATCAAACCAGTTTTGGCTGATGACAACAGAGCCATAGTGTTAGTCTGGGTTGGAATTACATACTAATTCTTTTAGTTATTTCTTGAAATATGTGTTGTATATGATGTTGTTAATTTTTGCTGAACCTCTTTAAGTATTTTGAAATCTTTTCTTTTATTTCTGTAAATTACTAACACACATACATGTATTTTGTGGTCATTTTAAACCAGACAGGACAAAAAGTAAGTAGAATGTGAATGTTGTACTTGCTTGCCCAAAGTTATACCTGCAGGTCCCGTATGTTTCAATCTTGAATTGTTATACCCCATCCTATAAATTGCGCTTCTTTTGTGTCAATTTAACTCCCCCCCCCCTCCTTGGGTGTAGCTTCTTCTTAGTGGCAAGATTTACAAATTTGTTCTACATGAAATCAAGAATCCATTACTATTCCATTGATGTTGAATTTTGGTGACATTTTGATATATATAGGTAAAACAGGCAAATTTTAGTTAGGTTGCCATGCTAATGGCTCTAGCAGATGACTTGAATGAGTTAAAGTAGTTTCAACCCTTCATTGTATCATGGATTTTTACTAAATAATTACTGAATATTTTTAACAATACCTTTGACATCACTCTGATTTATTCTATGATCCAAAACAGCATGTAATTATAATTAAATTGAATTCTTCAGAAACTTACCCTTGATGATGACGAATCCAACAAAATGGAAGATGTATCAGAAATAAAACCCATTTTGTAATTCTTCAGTTCCATCTGTGCCAGCTCTTTGGCTTTTAATCTATTTAACAAGAGCAGAGATATAGCTCAAACACAAACCCACATTCTGTCTACATAAATATTTCATTACTGTTATTATTATATAAAGCATGTTTTTTGTTGAACCAGGAGAGTATTGATAATCCAAATTGTGAAATATTTTGACTATTTTGTTGTTTGTCACATGTATTTCCTACAGTACAAATAAAGGGTGGATAGTCAAAAAGTCTAATTAAAGCTACTCATTAATGAATAATAGTTAGTGAGATCAATAATTTATCTGAGTGATTCATTTTCAGCCTATGAAATTATATCAAATATTTAAGAAAAATGTCTCATTTGACACAATTATAAACCATTTGACTGGATAACGTAACCCTTTTTTGCAACACAGGTACATGTTATATCCCACTTATTAGATACTAAATAGATCAGGCAGTAACCAAGGAGTATAAACATACAAGCATTGGTGTATATGTATATTTTTGTCATTCAGTAGCATACATACACCATACATAATTCATAGGTTGGCAGTATTTCAAAATTTTATTACCTCATGTGATATATGAATACACTCTTGATGTTGCATAAGATTATTCAATCTGTGAAAGATTTTAATCAGCTGGGGGCCTGTCTCTGAAGGCATAACAGTAGATAGATACAGTAGATACATTAGATAGATAGATAGATAGATAGATAGATAGATAGATAAAAGTTGTTATTCATTATCCTTGTAGGCTGGACTTGTCAGGCCAAGTGGACATCAGTGACCTGACCTGGGAGCAGAAAGAGAAGGTTCTGAGGACTTTGTTTGCCAAAATGAACGGAACCAAGAAAGAAGCTGCAGCCACGCCCACAAGGTCCCGCACTGCATTTCCTGCCATACAAACTGGACACGGGATGCTTAGTATCACACAGCAGTAGGTGTAAACCTAGACAGCTTAATGCAGTATCTGTAAAATAAAATGCTAGAATCTAATCAGAGCATGTCAAACGTTCAGTAGTCAGTTTTGACCATTTGTAATCACCCCCAGTTTTTCTGTTCTGTCTTTTCAACAAATCTTAACCCTGAGTAAGAGCATCATCTGATCACCTCCACCAATGACAAATTTTTACTGAGATAGTGAAAATAACCATGCAAGTACTTGTATATTCTGGGGGGGAGGTAATTAAGTCATAACACCATGTCTTTGAAATTCAGGGTCAAATCCCATTCTCAACCCCTTTCTATTCTCACTCATAATTTTGAGAAATGCCTACACCTCTGCCCTTGTTACAGGTCTGTAGAAGAAGACTATGATGCTGACCATACCTTCCTGACCCAGGCAGACGTGGGAGGTAAAGATGGCCAAGATGGCGTCCTCGGCATTCCAGACGTCAGAACGGCCTTCCAGGAAGACAGCAGAGCTGTGGAGACTGTTACTTGAAAAAAATCTTGAGAAGTGAAAAACATTTCTTTGAAGCAAAAATTGAAGCAAGTAGTAATAGTGGTAGTGGTAGACAAGTTAAGTCTGCTACTTGAGAAAATGTTTTGGGAAATCCTGGACAAGTTAGAAAATTTTATTGTAGTAAAATGAATCCAGAGGATTCATGATGTACGTGTACCAAATTCCTTTGCGATGTATTTACCAGGGTTAAAGTGCCTGTATCCAATGGGTCTGGTAAAATCTTTAGATATTTCTCCATTGACTGATGTCACTAAATCCCTCCCGATTCTAATAAAAGTGCTATTGCATTTACATCAAATAATACATGATATATTAATAAATATCTGCTGCAGTAATTTTGATAACTTAATGTTTGACTACAAATGTAAAGCTTATTTTTATTTTTACTTTGCATTATGTTTGTCATGCTGCTGCTTTGTCTGAAATGGGTATGTCTGCTGATGTATATACTAGTAGTTATTTGTAAAAGTACACCTGCACATTTATAGTCATGATTGCCATCACACGCACACATATATATATGTGTACAAAATACAGACTTAAACATGTAATTGTGATTTAAATGAAGAAGCTGAATTTGTAATTTTGATGTGTTAAAAAATCATAACAATACTGAAATAAATAAGACGTACATCTAATGTATTCAGTTAGTTATAGTCATTTATTTTAAGAAATCAATTTTTAAAATATAATTACAACTACATGAGCAGAGAAGGATATTTTCATCAATACAGTCCATAAAATAGTTTCTTTTATTGATCATGTATAGCAATAGGCAGTCTTTTTTTTTAATTAATTAAAAATACCTGACAAGATTCAAAGGGCTCTTCAAAGAATTCGTATTACCCATAATTACATCTTAAACAACTGCATAGCCATAAAACCCTCAAAATCCTAACACAAGTTTTTAAGAATTGCATGATCTCCAGGTTTCAAAAATATTCTGTGCACAAACTGAAGTTGATGTTATTTAGCATATTTGTCATCTATCCATTACAATATGTCATATATGATATAAGGGGGAATTATACCTACAAGCTGGCTCTACATCACTCATTCAAAATCACTTTATCAGTAGATGTTTTACCATTACATTAACATTAAATCTTGAGTTCATTTCACTGGAGACTTGGATCATCCACTAAAAATTTTATATCCGAAATGATAAAAAAATTCTCGTTGTACTNTCTAAGTGGTCCAGTCTTAAATAGTGGGACCTCATGATGTAAGCATACGAATCTGCTTCGATAAATGCTTGCATGTGGAGAACTTCTCTGAGAAACTATGTCAAAGGTGTCCAACAACCCATGGCTGTTCCTGACGAAATGACAAATTGGACCCCTTTTCTATGGCAGGCATATAATTGGCATATTTGAAATAACAAACCCTGAGTTTTGGTCTGTAGTAGACTCTGTATTACAAATTAAACCCACCTCAGTAATGGAGACTGTAAGTTAACATCTCACTCACTACTCTCAAAATCCAGGTGAAACTGATACAAAATTGAAACAAACTAAAATCTAAATTGATGCAAACTGATCCACTGCTATGCAATTTAGTGTGAATACACGACCAAATGGCAAGCCTGCAGAGAAGTGAAAATCCAGGGTTTTGCAAATGAGAACTGAGAATATGAACTTCAGACCAATTTGATTAGAGCAAAGGAGAAGAGTGATCCAAGGCCCAGCCCCACTGTGAGGAACACTGACATGATAGCACCTGCTGCCTCCATGTCTCCTGCAGGGACATGCCTGAAAATAGATTTTAGAATTGTTTTAAACAATTTACTACAGTAAAAGACTTTTTTCTTCTAATACAAAATGTCATTATTATTCCACTTTTGCAATCTTTTTCTCTTCTTCATGCTAGGTCATTATTTTACAAAATGGAATAGGCTTTCAGGGTGCTATGAAATGCATATATTACCCTCACATTAAATATCAATTGCAGATTAAAAGAAACGCTCTGAAAAATTTTGAACAGACAATGGAAAAGAGGTAAACAGTAACAATGCTTACTTGGGGCCGTATATCATACATAATGTCCCAAGATATCCATTGGACACAGCAAAAATTAGAATGAAAACCACTGGATACACATCGCTGTCGAATACAACTGGCACCCCATGTTTTCTGGGTTGGAAATTGCACAAGAGGAAGAGTGGAATAAATCCTATTCTAAGCACTGTCAGAATGGGTAACAAAACACTCTTCTCTTTTGGCTAAAATAAAAATACAAGACGAATTCTAAACTTCAACCTCTCCTTTGGCTAAAGGGCAATAACAAGGTGAATTTCTTATTTCAACCAGCACCTATATCTTTTGGTTAAAATCTATTCATGTATGGTTTTTATCACAGTAATTTAAAGAACATCATGTACTTACAACTCTTGTTTTAGCAACATGATAATCAAGTTCAAAAAGTAATCTGAATGCTAGACCTAAATAATTTTTTTAAAGTTTAAAAAATCAGTGTTAATAATTTCATTACAGACCAGACACTGGCACGTGAAAATGATTTATAAATTATAAATTCAAATTACTCACATACTGTACCCATCCAGCCACTGTCCTGCCTGTAAGATCTCCAAGATTGAATAATACAAAACACACAACTGGAGTGAAATACTTCCCTGAAATGAAGGAAAAAAAGGCATCCATGAGACAAGGAAAGATTGCCTTTAATGTGATTGTTAAAAACAATTTTGAAAATCATAAATCTGCAAAAAAATGAAAAAATAAAAAATCAGTTCTTGCATTTCATCTAGCAGATAAGGTACTTGCCATTTAATGACAGAGATTCCAAAAGATTATCTTTGACTGGACTGTTAAAAACAATGTTAAAAAACCATGAATATAAAAAAAATCACCATGAGCAGTCTAGTTAAGGTATTTACCATTTAATGAAAGAGATTCAGAGGGCCCTGCCACAGATTCTGTGTGAGAAATGATGGCTGGGAAAACTGATAATGTGACGAAGAAAACCAATAAAACAGATGTTCCTAGCACCCATACCTGTAATATAAAGAGGAATTTTAGTTGAACTTTTAAAAAAACTTAGCATTTTTTTTTTTTTTTTTTTTTGACAATTAAACTTGTAGTGGCGAATTAAGTTATCAAAGTCTCCATGATCAAAAATTACACAAACCACACCTGAGTTTTAGCTTTTGAATCATTTTAATAACAGAAAATATCTTAACTGAATATTTCCTGTTCATCAATTCAGCAAAACATATTTTTCCTTGCATAATATAAATACTTCCATAAAAACAAATAATTATCTATCTAGAAAATACCAGATCTGCCATAAACCTTACCCTTTTCAGAATTATTCTAAAATGAGTCTTTTGATGAACAGTATGATCTACTATGGGCTGGCTCCCATTTATACTTTCCAGGGATTCATCATCTAAAATATAACATAAGACAAATACAAGATGTGAGTAACTAAGGAAATTGATTATTTTATCAGAAAATGCAGAGCATTGAAAAAAGGCTCTTTATTTACTCTGTTAAAACTGAAAACATTTTCACATGTGAAATCTTTTGACATCAATAAATTTCAAAAGAATATTAACAGGAACAAGTTATCTAAGAAATAAAAAAATAAATGCTATATCATCATGCACTAAAAGATAAAATGCATAAAAAGAAAAGCCTACTTTCTTCAGGTCCATCATAGTTAATAGGCATTACATCACCGTTAGGCTGAGGCTCTATGCTTTCTACTGTTTCTTTTAGTGGATAATCTAAACGAAAGAGTTAAACTATTCTATACATGGCTCACTCTCTTTTTTTTTCTTTCTTATTTCCCCTTCAATTAGTTGACATTTTATTTACTGTAAGCCAAATGAATTTGGTTGTTAATAAAGGCAAAAAAAAAAGAAAATAATAATATTTTCTTACTGCAAACATACCTGTAGAGTTAGGAACAAAAGCTTCTTTAAGTTGATAGTTGACGCATTCACATATATATATATATATATATATATATATATATATATGTACAAGGTTAGTAAAACAAATGACCACTTAAACTAACAAGCACAAGCCACACAAGCATAAGAAAACAGACATTTGGAGTGTTATCACTACAAGATATTAAATGTGTTCTATAAAGATATGCAATAGATAAGATACAAAGTGCACTAATACAAATATTAGTTTTTTGTTTGTTTTTTTTGTGGTCATTCAACTAGATTCATAATAATGTGATGAAGATCTCACCTTTAATTTCTAAATAATATCTTGCAAATTTCTGAAAAATAATAAGGGAATTCTCAGTATAACAAGCTCTGAAATAATTTAAAAAAATAATAACCTTTGTCTTTGAATGAAATACAGGTATCTTGTGTTTGGCTGGGTTAAAAGTATAATGACAAAATTCAGTGATACTAGTGTATTCTTTCAGAGATGTAAATTCTTGACACTGCATTAATTTATGTTTTCATGGTAGTACAACTTATCATCACACATCTCATTAGTAGTTATTAACACACACACACACACACACACACACACACACACACAGACTTACCAATAAAGGAAGGGACAGGTATGCTATTAAGGCAATAATCAACACTATTGCTGCCAACATGAAATAATAAAATGCGCTCTGAGTGGCACTGCTACCTGCTGCAATAGAAATCACATTAGCCACAGCTGCAAATGTGCCTCCCATTGCCTGAGAAAAATAAAAATTTTAATCATTAAGTCATTTATAGCAGACTGATATATTTTCCAACTGTGTTTTGTAATTCTGTTTTGGTGATAAAATTCAATGAACACCAAAGCAGCTTTAACCAGGCAGTAAAAATGATTGTAAACACATTTTGACCTTCAGTTTTTGTGGTTACCCTAAGATTAAAAATCTAAAGGAAAAACAGCCAAAACCATAAACTCAGTGCACCTTAATGTGAAAGTACCTTTAACCATTCTCATTTTAAATATAGAAAAATGAAGATATGCCATTACCATTCCTCCCATGACAGCCTGTGTATAGCCCTCTGGAAACAGGCTAGCTAACCCCAGAGATGCTCCTTGCAGAACAGAGCTACCCACTACAAAGTATAAGCAGGGTTTTTATCATTTATTGTTACAGTTGAAGCAGGCCTAATTTTTGACTGATTACACATTTTATTTATAATGATTTGTTTATTACCCTCCTTTAGCCTTAAAAAATGCATATTTTACAAAAAAAATAAAAATAAAAATTATGAAAAGACTTACTGTTTAGGAACACCACACTTGCAAGTGTAGCAATAAAGAACTCTGTTTGCCCTGAAAAAAGAAATGATAGAGATGTTGGTATCTAATATCAATATACACTGTATAACAAATCAACAACTTACATAAGCTGATATAATACGTTAAACATTAACTTGTTAATGTGTATTTCAGACCAGTTTAATCCTTTGTTTTGCTATAAATAAGCATAAATTTCTAGTCAAACTTAGAACTTTATCACAGATGAAACTTCACCAATCAGAATCTTATTCTCCCAACAAATCTTTAAATTAATACTAAACTAGTAGTCTTCCCCATATATGGTTAGTGAGTAATGTAAAAGGGGTAAGTAAGGCCTTACTAGTCATGGTTTTATCACAAAAACCACTTTTCAAATCT